TTTTTTTTTTTTTTTTTTTTTTACTTTTTATCTTTTCTTTTTTTTCTTTTTTTTATTAGTGGTTCGGTCGATCTAAAAATCAACCTCTAGGAAATAAATTGGAGAGGGTGAGCAAATTACAAAGTGGCAGGCTAAATAGGACTTCATCCAACTCGTGTTCTCGTTTATTCGTTTTTTCTTTCTTTCTTTCTTTCTTTCTTTCTTTCTTTCTTGCTTGCTTTCTTGCTTGCTTTTGCTTCAACCCACATTTATCGCTCGAATTGTTCACATGCGTAAATTATATAATGTTTGGTCCGATCGTCGATCGGCAGCATTCGACAGCACTCTCTCTCTCTCTCTCTCTCTCTCTCTCTCTGTTTTTCCACATATCGCCACAAAAAAGTCAATCTCACACGCTCACTTTTTGCTTTTCTTTCGGTTCTCCTCTCTTTTTCTCTCTCTCTCTCTCTCTCTTTCTCTCGTTATTCACCTCTTTTTTTGTATTTTTTTTATTTAATTTTTTTTCGTTTGCTTCTCTTTTAATTCTCTAGTTATTTTTTAAATCACACGGTATGCACGGTAACGGCACGCTTTGTCCCGACGCAATTGGTCGAAAATCGCAAAAAACAAAAATATGGAGAAGATACGGATCAACCGTGGTACACACACGAAGCTCTATATAGATAACGCACGATCGATCGATCTTCGATGCGTATGCCATCACCGTGCAATTTCTCTGCTTTGGAACAACAACAGGTCTACACGGGTTGGCTTCGTGTTTCGCGGTTCGATTTAAAAAATATTATCGAAAATATTGTCTCGTACGTACAACGGCACCGCGGTTCGAAATATATTTCTCAAGAACGGAGACACTGCGCTGGGCCAAGCGTCGCTGAAATCCACTCGAAAAATAATTTATCTGCGTTATCTGCGTGGAGAATCATCTTGTTTCGCATCGCCGTTTGTCATCGTCTTCATTGTCATTCGTAATAATATGCTTATATTTTTTATTTTTTTTTTTTTTTGTCCGCGTGTGATCTCGTTCTCTTAAGTTGCGCTAAAATCTCAGCGAAACGCAAGGGGCAACGGATTCAGTGACAGGTTCTCCGATCTTCACAACCGCGTCACGATACAAAATTTATATTTTTTTCTTTTCTCTTTCTTATTTCCATCCTTTGTTTCTTCTTTTATTTTTTTTCTTTATTTCTTTTTTTTTTTTACAAATCGACGATTCGTCCCTTCCCGAACGTGACGCCGCGATTCACGTCGAATCACGAGCCAACTCTTCTCACCATCCCTCAAACCTCATCATTATCATAAATATTCTCTCTCTCTCTCTCTTCTTGTATTTTTTCTCTCGCTCGCTCACTCGCACTTTCTCTCTCTCTCTCTTTCTCACTTGATCATTTTTACTCGTACTCTCGGATTCATTCGTTCTTCTCGCCGTTTTTTCTCCATACGCAGATAACACTCTAACAGGGCACACTTCATCGGTAAATATGCGATTTA